AGGCTAGCTTCTCCACCTCAAGGTAACGGGTATCGGCATCACAAAGGACCTTGTTGACATAGTGGATAGACCTCTGCACTCCACCTTCTCTCACCAAAACAGAACTGATAGCCTCGTCCCTAGCCGAAAGGTACAAGTACAGCATGTCTCCCAAAAGCGGTCGAGTGAGCAGAGGGGGCGAGGCAAGGTAAGACTTCAGCTCGTCAAAGGCACGCTGGCACTCTTCTGTCCACTGGAAGTCCTTTAGTTTTTTTATAGCTCGGAAGAAAGGTAGGCAGCGATCGATTGACTTCAACATGGAATAGCTAAGGGCAACCACTCGGCCGGTGAGTCTCTTGATTTCTTTGATCAACCGAGGTGGTTCCATGTCAAGGATAGCCTAAATATTTTCTGGATTAGCCTCAATACCCCGTTGCGTGACGATGAAGCCTAGAAATTTGCTTGAGGTGACGCCGAAGGCACACTTGTTGGGATTGAGCTTCATATTGTACTTCCGCAAAGTGGCAAAGGTCTCGGCTAGGTCCGAGGTGTGTTGGTCAGCTTTCAGGCTCTTCACAACCATGTCATCCATGTAGGCTTTGACGTTTCTCCCCACCTGGTGCTTGAAAACCTTGTTCACAAGTTGCTAGTAGGTGGCTCCAGCGTTCTTGAGGCCGAAGGRCATGACTTTGTAGCAGTAGGTGCCATGCTCTATGATGAATGAGGTCTTCTCCTTGTCCTCAGGGTGCATCTTTATCTCATTGTATACACAGAAGGCATCCATGAAGTTGAGTAGCTCGTACCCTGTGGTGGCGTCAACGAGGTGGTCGATCCTCGGCAAAGGAAAGTTGTCCTTGGGGCAGGCTCGGTTGAGGTTTGTGAAGTCAATACAGATCTGCCATTTCCCATTAGCCTTCTTCACCATAACCACATTAGACAACCAGGTAGGGTAGTGTCCTCTCGGATGAAACCGGCATCAAGTAGCTTGTCAACTTCCTCTTCAATGGCTTTCCAGCGTTCCGGTGCAAAGTTCCTCTTTTTCTCCCAAACTGGCCTAGAGCTCGGGTCCACGCTCAGCCTGTGAGTAATGACCGAAGGGTCAATTCCGGGCATGTCAATGGCAGACCAAGCAAAGATGTCAACATTAGTTTTGAGGAAACTTACCAGCTCAGAAAGGCTATTTGGAGGAAGGTTGGACCCRATGTGTACCGTCTTCTCGAGCCATCCTCGTTTAGGGGTACTGACACGAGGTCCTCGGTCGGTTGGCCTCAGTTCGCTGGTTCGTCCCTGAGGTCGAGACCCTCCAACGGTAAAGCTTCCTTATTCTTTCCCTTCAGTGTGGCCACATAGCACTGTCGGGCTGCTTGCTGGTTTCCATGAACGACTCCGACGCTGTGCTCGGTGGGAAACTTCATGGCGAGGTGGTAGGAGATGGCTACCTTGAGCGTGTGAAGAGACGACCTCCCGTTTATGGCATTGTAGGGGGACCCAATCCTCACAACCAACGACCAGGAACTCAATCATTCTCATCACCTGTCGAGGCTCTATCCCTACAGTGAGAGGTATGGTGATCTTTCCTTCCGGTCTGGCAACATTCCGGAAGAAGCCGACAAGTGGCACATCGGCCGGATGGAGGCGCTTTGGCCCTAGCTTCATCTTCTCGAAAGATTCGTAGAAGAGGATGTCTGTTGATAGCCACTATCGACCAATATCCTCTTCACCATATAGTTGGCGATGGTCATCAACACCACCAATGCATCATCATGGGGAACTGACACCCCCTTCAGGTCCTCGTTCGTGAGGGTGAGGGCTTCATTCTGCTTTGGCTTCTTGGGAGTCGCCCCCTAGATGTTAAGTTGCCTAGCGTAGGCCTTGCAGGCCAAGGCCGAGGCCGAGCCCCCGGTAATGACGTTGATGACTCCAGCAAGTTGTTGCGGCTGCTACTGCTGTTGCGAGGATGAGGCGTTGGCGTCACCCCCACGTACTCCTTTAAGTGAGCATGGCGGATGAGGGACTCGATCTCATTCCTGAGATCATAATAGTCCTCAATATCGCGGTCGGTGCCGTGGTGGTACTTGCAATATTTTTTAGGGTTACCCCTCTTGGGGATCCTCTTCATCTTCTCCAACCACTTCATGTACTCCTTTTTCCCTACTTGCATGAGGATTTGCATTCGGGTGGAGTTGAGTGGTGTGCACTTGTTGTAGGTTAAGGCCAGCGGCTTCTTGTTGCCATCTTTGTTATTGTTGTTGTTGTGTTGCCGCGGCCATCTCCATTCTTCCTCTTCTTCTTTGACCCTCCGCGATTGTGGTCGGCCTCTCCATCTTGGCGCTCGCCAGCTGAGGCCACCTCGGCGGTGATGTACTTCTAAGCCTTCTTTAGGAATTTTGCCTTTGTCTTGGGCGGTGTCTTGGCAATGGAGCCCTTAAGGACCGACCCCGACAGGAGGTCGTTGATTGTTGCATGCATGGAGACCATGGGGTTGAGGTCTTAGACCTCGAGCTCTTCTTTCTTAAAGCGGTCGATGTATGACCGCAAACTCTCGCCTCTCTTCTTTTGAATGGACATTAGTGAAACAACACTCTCCTAGCACCGTCGGATGCTGATGAAATGGGCAAGGAAAAGACTTGTGAATTGCTTCCATGAGCTGATGGAGCGTGGTGGGAGTCCAGAGAACCATTGGCAGGCTGCCCCGTTGAAAGTCGTCTGGAAATCCTGGCACGTCAAGGCRTCAAAATACCCGTAAAGGAGCATGAGCACTCGAAAGCTTTCCAGGTGGTCATCCGGATCAGAGGTTACGTCCTACAGTTCTAAGGTGGGTGCTTTGAAGTGGGTCTCCAAAGCGATGGCGTCTGTGAAGATGTCGATCTTGTTGGTTGTGGGATTCTAGCTTGCAGAGGCATCACCTCGGCCCTCCTTAACCTGCCGAAGTTCGTCTTGCATGGCGCCAATCTAGGCCTCGAGGTCAACAATTCTTCAATCAATGGGAGCCTAGGCCTCGTCCTGGTTTTCTCGAACACAAAACGGGTCAGCCCGGTTCCCTCAGTATTCTGATGCGGGCGCATCTTGAATCCTTTTGGTCCGTTGGTCGTTGAGGATATCTCGAAGGTGGATACTTGAGAGGGAGAGGCGCGGCGTCGGCCCCCAGCCCTCAAATGGTTCTGGTGGTCATCGTGGGACACAGCAGGGTTTCTTCCACGTTGGCTGGGAAGGCAGGAGGTCCTTGACGGCTGACTACCATGTCGGCTGCTATCGTTGGACCCTGAGGGGTCGGCCGTGTTGGATCTGACTAGGTGATAAACCAGCGGAGCTTGGGAAGAGCGTCCACTGTGGCACCCAAGCCCCCAACAGGGCGGCCACCCTGTGGGCGGCCTCCTGCCGGTCACCCCACCCCGTCCAGTCTTTGAGTTATGTTGTCGAGTCGGTCAAGGACCATTCGAAATTGGTCCATGGTGATGAGGTTCTAAGCATTTTGCATGTTGTCTTGGTTACCAATCATTGTGTTGGAAGCTTAGTAGTTGAGTTTGGTTTAGTGTTTAGTTTGGGGAAGTCTTAGAAGTTGCTTCCCACAAACGGCGCCAATTGTTGTTGCCTGGAATGGGCCGAGGGCAACAATGTAAATTCACTTCCGAGACGAGGGTTGGCTGATGAGTCTGAGAGCTGCTAGAGCTGATGGCCCATAAGTCCAACCTATAGAGGAAGAAGCATGTCAAAGGCCCCGGGTGTTATCCCAGGGGCAGAGACTCCGGCGGTCAAGTTAGCAAGGGCGTAACAAGGAGGGCAAACAAGGCCTGAGTAAGGTAGCTCGAACAAGGTCACCAGGAAGCTAGAGAGCTTAGAGCAATAAATGCCAAGATGCCTTACCTCATGGTGACACCACCTATTTATACTTGAACCTGCCTGGAGTTAGTTACGAGCGGACGGCCAAGATGCAACCTACCTTGTGCCGCATGTCGCCATCTGAGGGTGCCGTGTGTGTGCACGCCATTGGGTCTGCCATGTGCGCCTACACCAGTGTCCATGATCCCTCTCCTATATATTCCACGACCATGTCATGTTGCAAAGTGTCACTGGTGCTTTGGGATAAAATGAAATGCTAGATATCCAGACACTTGTACATGGATAATGTATTGTGTTGGATACTTCAATTTTTAGTGCAAATTTCATATCCAATACAATATCCAGCCATGCCCTTGCCATATCCAGGTAACATAGATGAAATGTGCATGCATCATACCCAAGCTCTCAYTTTCTAGTTTTATTTTCAAATAACACAATCCAAACTTGCTACAACATCCACTTCGTGCTCAGCTACCTGAGCATCTAGCACAAGCTTATAGCCTTAAACTAAACTTCATTTAACTAGCTCAAACATCATCAAAACCCACAAAATGAATTTCCATATCATAAAGAATTTGATGATCCATAGCCCTAAAGGCTTTATGATTCTTTTAATGCTCCTGAAAGTGTACTCTTTAATTTAGTATCTCAACTCAACAAAGCCTTATCCCATCATATGAGGTCAGCTGCATTAATCCCACTCCACCATTCTGATATACCCAGTGATATATCCATTTTTAAGTTATAGGCCCTCAACTCATTTATTACTATTCAACCAATACCCATTTTGCATGCCCCTATCTCTTCTAAATCCTTCAATTTGCAGCAGACCACACCTTGTAGGTGTTGTAGATGGTCTTCACAAATGACTAAACCATCTGCTTTTCCTCAATTCTCTCTTGTGCAGAATGTGTGTAAGTTTGGACCTTTTTGGAATATATATCTTTTTCACAAAAAAAAACTTTTTGGAATCTACATGGGGAAAGTGGACATACGGTGTTATGGACATATGAGCCCAAATATAATTTAATGTATTTGGGTAAATGCCTCCTGATAGCAAAAGAAGCCCAAGACTTGTAAGTTACAATGAATGGTCATAAATTTTGTAGAAAAGCAATTCTCAGATGTGCAGATAAAACAAATTTTTTTTATACAAGAAGAACAAAGATGCTAGAACTTACTTTGAATTTGGATTTGAAGCCACTGCCGCTGTAGGAAGAAGTTGTTCAGCTAAAGAATCATATACCTCATCAATAGAACTGTAGAGAACCAGAGATCACAATTATGCACAGATACAAGAACATAAACAACCTAAATAGAAACATAAATAAGATGATAGGATTCAGAAGCTTCTAGAGCATATGAAAAGTACAAAGCGAGGATAATGAACAGAATAAAGGATCTAATGGGAACTCTATGTTCATATACATTATACAGTTCCGTTATCAGTTAAAAGCTATGCATTCTGGCATTCAAATTGTTATTGAAATTCTTTGCGGGCAAACTTCAGATTATAATTCTAGGGGATTGATTTGGGTAGACCCACTTTTTGATAAAACGGACATATCCCTAGCTAATGAGAAAATGTACCCCTGTTTCTAAACAAGTTACTATGCAGGAGACATGACCCATTTATCAGAAAGGAAATGTTCCCAAAACACGCATTGCTCCATTTTTCAATATCTTCCTTTTCCTACCAATACATCTAGTTATGTCATTCAGAAAGTCTCTCTAAATAACACAAGAATCTTCCGCATGGCAACAAGGTTTGGGGCTGTTAGAGTGAGCCGAATAGGGGTAGTTTAGTAATCTCATGTCAGTTAAGTACTTTGCTTATGTGGCTGTTTTATTAGAGTACTCTGCCCCACACTTAAGTGAGGGCAGTTTAGTCTTTGTAAGAGTAATTAGAACCTAATAAACATTAGGGGGTCGACTGAATGGG